CCTCTGGGGCAGGCAGAAACTAACCTTGTTGTAGTGACCCCAAGTCCTTCGGAGATAATGGGTGAAACACAGTTCTCTCTCTCTACTGCGAGGTGTCCTCGACTATCCCTCAGATTATTGCCATATTGAATTTGCTCTCCATCAAAGGTGGCTTGGGGGATGGAACGAAGGGTAGGATCCCTTTGAAGACCTCTCCATGGCTGGAAAAATTTGTCCTGTTCATAGACGGCAATTTATTATTTTCCTAGCTAATTGCCATTCTCTCAGATGACTTAAGAGAGTGAAATGCTGAATATTTAGTATTACATCTCTTCCTATTAGTAATCTGTCAGGAGAAGATACGTGAATGTGTGTATTTTTTGTTTAATACTGGGGTTCACTGTTTTTATACTGTTTGTAAAGCCTTTCCTTTTATTTTTTCACATGGTTTCTTCTTTACATGTGTTACTCTTTTACTTTTTAAATTACAGGTGAAAATAAAATGACAGTTTCTGAATCCTGTATTAGTGACCAGCTAGTTTTGTTGGAGAAATGGACAGATAATCCAGACTATTTAAAACGCCAAGTTGGATTCTGTGCCCAGTGGAGTTTAGACAATCTATGTAAGTATGAAAACAGATTCATTTTATATTATTGGATTTTTTTGCAGGGCAGCTCTCTTTTGAGGGAGAGAATATGTGTGTCGGTGTTGAATGCACAAATACCATGTTTTGTGTAGTATTTACTAGTAATTTTGTGTGTCTGGTCATAGTTGTATGTTCAAAAATACAGAGTGCGCAAAGAAATAATATACACAGATCCATGTGCATTAGTGTATGCCTGAATTCTGGAAAAACACACCTTATGTAATCTGTGCAAATAAACTTAAAGAGTTTTATGTTTTTTTCTCTGTGTGCGTGAGAAATAAGCTCACAATAGTTAGATTGCACTGTACTCTAACTTTGAGGGAAAGCAGGATTGTCCCAAAAAGCCCTTGGTATTGGTATACCCAAGAATATCACAATCTACACAAGGGCTGATTACAGCCTGGGCCTTATTGAGCATACTAGACTCTACTAATTTAAGAAACCAGGAAAGTTTACAGAGATACTCTATCTTGTTTTGCCTGGAGTGCTTCTTTACATTAGTGAGCCCAAAGCTTTGACTCGCTGAAAGTTCTCACAGGGCTGGCAGCTGTGTTTAAGGTATGTCCCTCTGCTTCACTACCACTGGAAAAAAAGAGAATGAAATAACTTTGTTGGCCTCAGGCAGCAGCTTGTCTATTATATGCTGAAGCTCAGTATCAACTTGTGCTTTATTAAAATGGCAATAAACAGATTGTAATGAGTTTCTTTGATGTACATTACACTCCCGGAAACAGACTTCTGTCTGATGAATTGCCACTTTTTAGTGTTAATATGTGATTCTCAGTCTGTAGAATTAAATGCTGCTCCATTCCTCTCAGTGTGGAAGAGAATGATGTGGAGGAAAAGGTATAGAGCAGTTTCCATTGCATAGCACAGTAGTTATTCTCCAACTTGCCCTCCTGGTTTTATGTAGTCCCAGTGTCCTGTGTCTTCCCTGCCCTGATTCTGAGTGGCTTCCAGGGTGGAATTTCTAACAAAACTCAGTGTATAGTATAACAATATCGCTCAGGGCTGGAGCAAGCACCACCCTGAGTTAAAGCAAATGTGAGGAGGCCTCATTGAGCAGCATGCTAGAGAACCCCACAGTTAAGCTTCTCTTCTCTCCACTGATCCTAAGCTGTTACAAAGATTCCAGCAGATCCTTGCTTTGCTTGCTTTTTTTTTTTTCTTGCCTTGAAACGCAAGCATTTGATTAGCTAATGAAGGAGCAGTGTCTGAGGTTCTAGCAATCACAGAAGTGGAGAAGAAAGGACTAGAAATGGGAAAACAACATTAATTGGTTCAGTTCATCTGCATAAACCAAGCCCAGTAGCTGACAGCAGCAGTTGAGTTTTCGGTCTTCCTCGCACCGTTCCACTTATAGAAAAATTCCACTCAGTAAATCTGAGTTTACAAGAGCCTGAGAATCCACTCATGTGAACCATCAAGGTCTTGTCTTCTCTATCCTGAAAAAAATCACATATTGATATGTATTCTGATGCCCTTAATGCTTACTCATGGTTCCTTGAGAGGCACAGTTAGCCCTTAAGTGCTTTTCCGATACACAAGATGCCCTGCTCCTGGATATAGTTCTAACCTGTATTGGAGCGACTGTAAATAAATAATATCGCATTCAAGTATGCATAATACCATTGTTGCTCTAAAGTATGCCAAGACTGAATTGCATGTACACATGTTGAGTTTTTCTCTTAACCTGTGTCCCATGTCAATCTTTATTTCAAACATTAGCTTTAATAAAACTCTCTTAAAACTGTTCGATGTATTGAAATAATTTGATTGGATGTGTTCCTGCAGTAGCACTTGATTAAATACATTTTTCTGCAGTTTTGAAAGAAGGCAGACAGTTTACATATGAGAAAGTTGACTTGACCAATATTAAGGCCATGCTGAATAGTAATGATGTCAGTGAATACCTTAAGATCTCACCACGTGGACTGGAGGTAGGATGTCATTTTATTATTTCAATGCAGAATTATGTTTGAAAAAAGCTACAATTTATAACCATTTAATTCACATTTTTTCTCCTTTTTTACCCTTCGAAGAATCATCATGTGTCTATTTCTCAGTTCTGTACCAAACCAGTGAGGGCAATCTGTTTTGGCAATGGACTCTAATGTCTCTAACTTGCTTTTAGTATGAGAAATGACCGTTGTGAAACATCACCCTTCTGTAAAGCTCGGGTTTCTTTCTCTGTAGACCTATCTGCTGCTTCTCCCATGTAGTGCAGAACCGTTCCCTGTGGTAACTTGTTGTTGTTGTTGTTCTGTTTTTCCAGTTGTCCTTTCTAGTCTTAAAAGCCCAAATCAATAGGGATTCCATTTCCATAGAGAAAAATCTCTCAGCATCAGAAAATTCACCCTTTTCTTAATTTTCTTCCATGATTTCTGATGCTATATTCATAGTGTACTACATTTCCCCCCCCCCCCTTTGATATTTATACCTTTGAGATAGTTGTAGATTGTTCAAAAATTGGTCTTTTTTAAAAAAAAAAAAAAGCTTTTAACCTTTGAATCCGTTTCATTAGCCCTCAGATCACTTCTGTTGCTTTTCTCTGATATATGTCCAATGTGGTTCAGTTGTGCTGAGGTTCTATCCAGTATACTGCAATTCCTGTTGTGAAAGGGGTTGCATTGTGTTTGAAATTTAAATGCTTTTACAATTTTTCTTTTATGGCACGTCTCATATCTATCAGGCAGGGAACTAATTACAAATAATGTATTTTCCACTTTGTTTCTTCAGGCTCGGTGTGATGCCTCCTCTTTTGAAAGTGTTCGGTGTACGTTCTGTGTTGATTCTGGAGTTTGGTACTATGAAGTCACAGTAATTACTTCAGGAGTGATGCAGATAGGATGGGCCACCAAAGACAGCAAATTTCTCAATCATGTGAGTGCATGTGAGGTGACACAGCTGATACTCTAAGTCTTAGGGGGGAGGGTGGTGGTTGTTTTGTTTAGTGCATATACAAATGGCTTTTTACATCCTATTGAAATAATTGTCCATACTTGTATATGTACTGCCTCTTTCTCTTAGGTTCCCGCTTTTTCCTCCCCCCCTCCCCGTACATTTACACTGGTACACTGAGTGAATTTAGTATTCATGAACGGTGTTGAAGTGACATTTGCCTCCAAAACTATCTTCTCTCCCATGCCTTAATCCTCATTTGGAGCAGTAGGAAGGTAATTCAACTTTTATGACCCATTCCACTCTTGGTCTCTGCTCCACCTGCAAATAAGGATGTCAGTTACTGCCAGCTGCGTTTTTGTGAAGTGAGCTTGCAAAGAGCTGATACTCTATCATTCACTTATTTGACAGAGGCCGTTAAAAAGCCATCAGGTGTTTTTTACTTTTTTCTCTATTTCCACAAATGTGATGATTGGACTATAAGGGCCTCTACTCTACATGAAACTGGGTTACTCTACCCTCAGGGTAGTTGAATACAGGCAGTCCCCGGGTTACGTACAAGATAGGGATTGTAGGTTTGTTCTTAAGTTGAATCTGTATGTAAGTCGGAACTGGCGTCCAGATTCAGCCACTGCTGAAACTGATCAGTTTCAACAGCAGCTGAATCTGGACGCCAGTTC